AGCACAAGGATCCAGCCTTAAAGTCCTTATTGCTGCTGATCCACGCCCCAGCGGGACGCGATAAGATCCAATAAATCAAATTCCACGTGTGGAAAAGCACTGGGATACCAGTGTCTGAGTGTGCTGGAAAATAGGTTTGAACTTCAGTGACTTCAAGCCTGATGTTCAATTTGTAAATGCACCAAACTGCAATATTTGTATATTTGTTTCTATTAATGCTCCTGTTGCAGATAAGTGAGCAGGTGGACATCAGTCTGTAGGAAAAAGTAATTTTAATACATGGTGAGTATTCCTTACTTCCTTGTTTTCCCAGTACCTTTGGTGTTAGTTCAAGCAATTTGTGTGTGTTGTGATGGGAAACCTGAGTCCATAAACTCATGAACTGAAAGAAATGGGCTTCATTTAGGCACTAAATCTTCTGGAGAATCTGTATAACACTCACAAAAATGCAGATTTACTGAGAAATCAAAAGGTAACAAATGTCATGCCTTGAGCATGAGGTTTTAAGAGCAGAAATTTTCCAGTCCTACAGTGAATTTTACGTTCTAGATGACAGAATAATTGCAACAAACCTGCTTTCATACGTGAGCAATGTTTAAACCGTTTCGTGATACTCTAAGCCAGTCGGCAGCTGTGCCCCCGCTGCAGTAAATGAGAAATGAGCGAGAGGAATTCCGCGGAAAGCAGGGCAGGGAGGGACTGGGGGGATGGAGGGTGAAGGCTCAGTTAAACAGAAACAGAGAAACATTCAGAGCCAAGCGTATCCCGAGCACCCCGGTTTCACAGCCGGTTATTCACCGTGCAAACTGCAGGGTGTGACTCCACCGCTCAGTTCCCCTTTTCTCTTTCAAAACCGGTGAGTAAGAGCTTAAAGAGCTCACCCTCTGGGAACGATTTCAAATAATCCTCCTTGTTCCTCTGAGCTGTTCATTCAGAGCCCCAAACTGGAGTCTCTATAAATCTTTCATAAAGGTATCTAACGAATTTCTCTTCAAGTTATAATCTGGCAGAGCAAAACACTGTTTATCCAGCTGGAATAAATCCCATTGCCAAGTTTTTTTTGGCACCAAACTTTTTTATCAATGCAAACCCAGTACTTGTCACATGAGGGGGCTGTACTTGCCATCAGAAGTCCTGATCCAGCTGATAATGCAGATTTTTATGATTGAGATGGAAGGGAATTCCAGATTCTCAGTTAATTTATCATATTCAGCATGAAGAATTAAAGTCAATCTCCTAAATTACTCAATAGAGGAAAAAAAGAAATGAACACCTTTCAACTGATATTTTACTTTGGAGAATTTAGAATTTAATGAATAAATTTATTAATAAGTTGATCTAAGTATATTCTGCATTGCCTTAGTCTTGTCTATTTGATATGACAGCAGAAACTTTTAGATATCAGCTCATGTCAAAATATTTTGCTTCCTAAATTCCTGTCACGTTGTTTTCTTGCAGCCATCATTCTTCAAGGAAATCAGATTTTCTGTCATCACAAATTCTTATTTTCCCAAAATAATCCTTTCTTTTCTGTTAAGGTAATTGCACACTGTAATTTGTGTGTAATTTTCTCAGTAATTTTCTAAGAAATGTTTTGTATTTTGTTCTGGGAAACACTAGCTGCCAAGTGTGTAAATCCTGAGGGGATTTAGGCGCTGCCCACCAGAAGAGAGAGTTTGAGATATCCAAAACTCGCTTTCCATGAGGTGTTTCCTTTTGTCCCTTTTTCTGTCGCTCAGCTTTGGTGTGTCTCACTGCAACCAGATACCTGGAAGAGCAAAATCAGTTTACATTTGCGTACAACTTGTGATTTGAAGAGGCCAGCAGAGCTCCAGGCCAAAGGGCTCCAGGAGAAGCAGGCTCGTTAATGCCTCATCATGACTCAAGCAGCAATTATTGATTGATGCTATTTTCCAGCAGTGTCCTGGTAACCAAGCACTGCTCCTCCTGCCGAGGGGACAAGGCACTGCTCGTCCTTATCGAGTTCAAAACTGCATAAAAACATCAAGGGTTGGTAGGAACGGCCAGGCGGGTTGAGCTGCGTAAGGAGAGCAAGTGCAAATCTCTCCAGCTTTTTGAAATATCAAAGGGTAACCTGGAAAACTGGAGTGCGTTAAAAGCAATAAATGATGGGTGTGTGTATGGAAAAAAAAAAAAAAAAAAAAAAGGGCAAATTCCACTGTGCTGACACCTGCTGCCTCCATGACTCGTTTTTGCTCCTTTCCAGCCCCTCTGGCACCTGGCAGGGAATGGAAAGTGCAGTTTGCCTTCTGCAAATACCACCTAACCCAGGATTTCACTCCAGGGCAACTCAAGGGTCACACTCAATGTTTCCAGCTCTCCTTTTATTACTGTTTCTTTAACCTCCAGTGCATTCTGTGGGCTGAAAATTGCTTTTGCCATTGCAGAGGTGTTTAGCACCAGCATTTGGGTTCATAGGACTTTTTTTGGCTCTGTTATCACAGCTCCAAAGTCTGTTCCAGGTGGGTGGTGAGATTTTTTTTATTCTGTGTAAAATTGTTTTTAAAATCGCAGGGATTTTACAGCACATGGCTAAAAGAGGGGAGGTTGTCAAAGGGCCAGGAAAATAGGGCAAACTATTCCAAATAAGTGAACAATAAATAATGTCCTCTCCAAATAGCTAGGATCCCTGCTGAGCCATGAACCTGCACATAAAACAGCTCCCAATGAAATGCTTTATTTCCATTAAAAATCGACTATTTTGGTGATAGTTACAGACTCTGAAGCCTCAAAATATAACAACAGGAAAAGAAGCATAAAAACCAAATGCACTGTGGAGACCTTCCAAAAAGACGTGTTTGTAAAACTGGGGAGGTTTATTAATGACTATAACCATGGTGCAAAACAAGGCGCTGCTCCACACCCTGTGAGGAGGATGAGCAGACCACGAGCACCTTGGCCTCCCCTTCATGGCTGATCCTTGGGGAGATGTGGAAGGGTTTGGAGCCCCAGGAGGGGCTGAGGGAGCTGGGGAAGGGAATCAGCCTGGAGCAAAGGGGGATCAGGGGGCCCTTGTGGCTCTGCACAGCTCCTGACAGAAGGGGACAGCCGGGGGGGTCGGGCTGTGCTCCAGGGAACAGGGACAGGAGGAAATGGAACGGCCATCTCCTGGCTGGGCCAGGGCAGGCTCAGGGTGGATATCAGGAAGAATTTCTTTATGGAAAGGGTTAAACTTTGGCAGGGGCTGCCCAGGGAGGTTTGGAGGGCCCATCCCTGGAGGTGTCCCATAAAGGGCTGGACGTGGCACTCGGTGCTCTGGGCTGTTGCCAGCGTTGGGATCCGTCACAGCTTGGACTCGGTGCTGGAGGATTCTTCCAACCTCTGGGCCTCTGACTGCTCCCGAGGGACCTTGGCGGA